GCAGCCCCGCTCTGTGACCTTGGTCTCTCATCCCCTTGTTTTCCTGGTGATTTACACGCTCGTCTTATCTCCTAAATGTCAGGGACAATGTCTGATTCATGCCGCACCTCCCACACCGCCTGGCGCATCAGGAAGATTCAACACACACTCTGCCGGGCTAAATGGGACTCAGTCCCCCGCGAGGGCTGGAATCGGAAAGTGACAGGAGTCCTGTTGTTTTTTACTTCCTTCCTTTCTCCCCACGGCGCCACCGCCCCTCTCCATCTTCACCCCCAAACCAGAAGGCAGACTCCTCCCCTGACTGCGCAGACCTGTTCCTCTCGAGGCCTCAGTTTCCCCTCCTGGGAAGTGGCACCGTCTCTCCTGAGGCCAAGAGGGGCGCAAGGCAGACAAGCCCTGGCCCAGGTCGGGGTGAGACGTGTGTTCTCTGTCCGGGGAACACAAAGCCCCATTTGTGATCGCTGGGCACGAAGCTGGGCAGGGAGCCATGTGGGACGGAGGCAGCGGTGGGAGGAGTGGGCAGGATTTCCAAAACCCCCTCCCGCGGGCTGGCTGCCAGAAAGCCGGCGGCAAAGCCCCTCCTGCCTTGGCCTGAAACAAGGTGTCTATCAGTCCACGCCCTGCTTCCTCCTTCCTCAGCCCTAGTCCCCAAGTTCCCCGCCCCCCTCTGCACACACACGCACCCCGGCCTCGGAATGGAGAAGCAGGAAGGGGGAAGCCAGCGAAGCCTGAGACTTGGGGGCGGGGGTGGGGAGAGTGGATATTTCCAGAGCGTGTGGGTTTGTGGCCAAGGGCAAGGCCAACAGAGGAGTTGTGTCCTCCTGTCATTCAGCGGCCCCACCCAAGCCATTCCCCAGGACATGAGGACAGAGACAGGTGGGAGGCTGGGACCTCGGCCTCGCCGGTGTGGCAGGGGAGCACCAACAGGATGTGGGAGTGGCACCCCATTTAACAGAGAGGCCTGCTGAGGCCTGGGGTGGAGTGGCTGGCTCCAGGGACCTCCTCTCCTTTCTTCTGTGCTGTGAACAGTTCCTGAGCAGGGATGGGGGAGGGATCTCTATATGAACAAACGCCAAGGTCCATCGCTTCTCAGCTTCATATCCGTGGAGGAATCACCTAACTCCCTCATCTGTCGCTTGTAGCACAGGTGTGGCCACTCCTTGGCCCTATCCAGGCCTGACCTACCCCATCATCCTTGAATTCTGCACACCAACCCACAGGCCTTTGTTCTCTGCTAGGAGGGCCCCATCCTCCTGCCTCAGGGCCTTTGCACATGCTGTTTTCTCTACTTGGAATACTGCCCCGCTCCTCTTCTCACCCCTCCTCCTCCTTCAGGTCTGGGTTGACATGTCACTTCCTCAGGAGGCCTCCCTGCCCCCTCCTTGTACTCTAGGCCTCCCCTCACCCTATCAGAGTGTGATGACATATTTACAAGACTATTTTTAAAATATTTTTATTGATTTCAGAGAGGAAGGAAGAGAGAGAGAGAGAAACATCAATGATGAGAATCATCAATCGGCTGCCTCCTGCATGCCCCCCACTGGGGATTGAGCCCGCAACCTCAGCATGTGCCCTTGACCAGAGTCGAACCTGGGACCCTTCAGTCCACAGGCCGATTCTCTATCCGCCGAGCCAAACCGGCTAGGGCTACAAATCTATTTGATTCACTTGGCCTCCCCATTAGCCTGCAAGCCCCATGAAGGCAGGTCTTATCTGATCCGCCGCTGCATCCTCACAAAGTAGGTACATAGTAGGTGCTCAATAAACATTTGCAAACATACACCCCTAAAACAATAGACATTAAGAAAGGAAGGATGCATGCTGGCTTCGAAATTATGGCATCTTGGGGCGGGAATGGGCCTGAGGAAGGCAAGACCCAAGAGGGGCTCACCTGTATCTGCAGTGTTGTGGTTAAGAAGGTGACGCTACACCCAGGCGGCCTGAGTTCAAATCCCATCTTGGATTTGATACCGAAAGCACGATCCATAAAGGAAACGGTGGCAGATTGCACCTCATCAAAGATCGTGGGAGAGGATGAAAAGAGAGGCTCCAGCCTGGGGGGAGCTCAGGTCTGTCAGAGGCTCGCCTGGAGCACGGAGACATATGCAGGGAGACGTCTCCGCACTCAACAGCGGGAAAGAGAACAATCAGTTAGAACACAGGCGACGGTCATGGACAGATGTTTTGCTGAGGAGGATTGCGGATGGCAAATAAACACCTGAGAAGGTGTTCATCACCATTGGCCGTTAGAGAAATGAAATACCACAACACACCTATCAGAATGTCTAAAAAGGGGGTGGGTAACAGTGAGGATGCAGAAACTAGATCGCTCCCACATTGCTGGTTGGAACATAAAATGGCACCGCCTCTCTGGAAAGGAATATGGTGGTTTCTTTAAAAACCAAAACAAAACAAAAACTAAACCGGCATTTCCCATAGGACCCAGCAGTTATGCTCTTGGGCATCTGCTCTGCCAGAGAAATGATAACATGTTCATACAAAATTCAGGACCTGAATCTTCAGAGTGGCTTTATTCATAATGGCCCCAACTGGAAACAACCCAAATGTCCTTCAACAAACATTGCCCATTCCTGCTATGGAATGCTGCTTAGTGATCAAAAAGAACAAACATGGATACAGGTAGCAATGAGCATGGCTCTCAAGGGGATGCAGCTGAGTGAAAAAGGCCATTCTCACCCTAGCTGGTTTGGCTCAGTGGATAGACCGTCAGCCTGCGGACGAAAGGTCCCAGGTTCGATTCCGGTCTCATGCCCGGGTTGTGGGTTCAATTCCCAGTAGGGGGCATGCAGGAGGCAGCCAATCCATGATTCTCTCTCATCATTGATGTTTCTATCTCTCCCTCTCTGAAATCAATAAAAGTAAATATTTTTAAAAGCCACTCTCAAAAGGTTACATGCTATGTGATTCCAATTATATAACCTCCCTGATGTGACCAAACCACACAGAGAACAGATGAATGGGTGCCAGGGGTTAGGGAGGCGGGCAGGAGGGACCTTTGAGATGAATGTTTTGTATCTTGACTGTGGCGATTGCCAGCGTCCAAATGAGATAAAACTGCATAGAACTGAATACACAGTCGTCCAAATGAAATCTGAGTAAGGTCAGTGGATTCTCAATGCCAATTTCCTGGTTGTGATAGTGTATAGTTGTGCAAGAAGTCACCACGGGGGGGGGGGCACTGGGTGAAGGGGTATGGCACCTCTTTGTATTATTTTTTTAAACTGCAGATGAATCTACAATGATCTCAGAATCAATAGATAGCTACACATCTATCAGAATGACTTTTTAAGAAAAACTGGCAGCCCAGCCAGCATGGCTCAGTGGTTAAGTGTCGACCTATGAACCAGGAGGTCACGGTTTGATTCCTGGTCAGGGCACATGCCCGAGTTGCAGGCTTGATCCCCAGAGTGGGGTGTGCAGGAGGCAGCCAGTTGATGATTCTCTCTCATCACTGATGTTTCTATCCCTGTCCCTCTCTGAAATCAATTAAAAAATATTTTTTTTTAAAACTGGCAATACCAATGCCTGGCGAAGCTATGGAGCAATCAGAACTCTCATGCATTGCTCGTGTGAATATCAAAACGGGAAGGCACACTACAAACCAGTTTACAGAGTTTTATACAGTTGAATGAACACTTATCACATGACCCAACGAAAGCTTATGTTCACACACACACAAAAATGCATGGAAATACTATCTTTATACCATAATTGCCGAGAGCTAGAACTAACCCAACTGGAAGGTGAGTGGACAAAGCATACCTTGAAATACTACTCAGCAGTGAAAAAGGATGTACCTTGCTGATTCACACACCAACATGAATGGATCAAGAATGAATATTGCTAAATGAAAGAAACCAAACTTGAAAGGCTACAAGGTATAGGTCAGTGGTTCTCAACCTTCTGCTGGCCCTTTAAATACATTTCCTCATGTTGTGACCCAACCATAAAATTATTTTCGTTGCTACTTCATAACTGTAATGTTGCTACTGTTATGAATCGTAATGTAAATATCTGATATGCAGGATGGTCTTAGGCGACCCCTGTGAAAGGGTCGTTCGACCGCCAAAGGGGTCGCGACCCACAGGTTGAGAACCGTTGGTATAGGTTCTATTCATGACTTTCTGAAAAAGGCAAAATTATAGGGCTAGAGAACAGGTCAGTGGCGGCCAAGGGCTGGGGTGGGGACAAGGGTTGAGTACAAAGGGACATGAGAACTTTTGGGGCAAACGTTTTGTATCTTGACTGTGGTGGTGGTTACATGCCTTTATGTATTTGCCAAAATTCACAGAACAGTATGTGGAAAAAATGAATTTTACTTTATTCAATTATATCTCAATATTTTTTTAAATCAGGAAAAAACTAGATCATGTACTTGTCACTTCACATCAATGTATGTGGATAGTCTGCAATTTACTGCAAACTGCTCAAAGATAACATTATTTTAGTTCCATTTTAAAAAATATGCTCCAATAAAATGCTTAGCGGTTGTTTTAAGCAATACAGGCATTATAAGTATTTATAGTTTTTTAAATAGTGTTACCTGCAATAAGAAAATACATTTCTTTCTTTTTTAAACTAAGAGTCACTTCCACAATTTTAAAGTGGGAAGGATGCGTGAGTTTGTGGGTTTTTAAAATATATATATATATTTATTTTTTTCAGAGAGGAAGAGAGAGGGAGAGAGAGATAGAAACATCAATGATGAGAGAGAATCATTGATCGGCTGCCTCCTGCACCCCTACTGAGAACATCAATGATGAGAGAGAATCATTGATCGGCTGCCTCCTGCACGCCCCCTACTGAGGGGATCGAGCCCACAACCCAGGCATGTGCCCTTGACCGGAATCGAACCCGAGATCCTTCAGTCCGCAGGCCCGCGCTCTATCCACTGAGCCAAGCCGGCCAGGGCAGACCCATGGGTGTTCGTAATTTTACTGAGTACTTCCCCTAATACCACCTCTGCAGTGCTGGTCACGGATTAAATCCGACACTGAATTACTTTTTGAGAGTTCCGATGGCTCCATAGCCGGGAGTGGGTGCTGCCAGTTTTTTACAAGTCATTCTCCTAGATGTGTGGCTGCCTGAATTACTTAGCACTGTGTCTGACCCACAGTAATCGCCTAAACCACCTCAGCTGCTCCCCTACCCCCAGCCTCCAAATCCAGATCGCGGGTCTCTTCCCAGCTGGTCTCCAGCTGGTCCTCCTTAGCTCCCTAACCAGGCCCGGGCTCCCTCCGTGAGGCGTGGCCAGGGGAGCCCCATCCCCAGCAAAGGAAGTGGACCCTCGAAGGGCTGGAACATGGTAGGCCCTCGGCACCTTGCAGGGGAGTAAGTGACCCCACCCAAGACCTGGCCAACAGTGGGTGCCCAATAATAGCAGACATCTGGGCATAGAGCCACGTTAGCAAGGCCCCATCCCACCCAGCCAGGAAGAGGCCTGGCCAGACATGGGTCACCAAGAGGGTAAATTCTTGGCCAAGGGTCCCCTCTCCTCTGGGACCCCAATTTAGACGGGGAGTTAAAGCCCCCGAAGGGCCAGAGGCTGCTGCCCTCCCGGCAGCCCCTCCCTCCCGGCAGCCCCTCCCTCTCCCTCCCAGGGTGGATTTCCCCGGCCTCAGACAGGCAATGGAATGTTGCGTTGATGGTTGCCTGGGCAACCAGGGCCTGCTTGGTGGCTGCCTTCTGGGAGTTCCGAACACGCTGTTGCACCACCTTCCACCAGAAACCCTCCAGGTGGAAAGAAAGCCCCAGAAATCGCCAGGAGAATGGCCGTGTCCTGGGAGAGAGATTTCCGACTGGCCTTGCAAGACAAGCTGCCAATGTGAGTGGCTCGGGGTGGCAGGGAGGGTTGGAAGGAGGACAGGAGTGAGTGGGTGGCCCATTCCCTCCCAAGTCCTGGATCCTGGCTTCCACAGCCTGTTCACGGTGGGAGATCATTGCCCCCATTTCACAGATGAAAACAACTGAGGCTCAGAGAGAACTAGGGACTTCCCTGACGTCTCCGGGCTGGTTAGAGCTGAGCAGCGTCAGTAGCCCACATCTCTAACCTGCCCTTAATTCCCACCCCAGCTGACATCCAGCTGAGATTAAATGGTTTGAACCCAGGTGGGAAGGAATTATTCTATGAACTTTTGCCCCCTATGCCTGCAAACTGCATTTTTAAAGGGAGAGTGGAGGAAGCCTGTCCAGGCCTGTGTTGTGTTCCGTGGAGTGACTGAGGGTCCCAACCGCAGTCTTAGAATCTGAAAATGGCAGCGTCTCCCCTGAACCGGAGCTGGGAAAGGCTTGCCGAATGGAGTTAGTGTATCCCTCCTGCTCCCTACACACCCGACCCTAAGGGGCTGCCTGCTGGACCCCTCCCCCAGAGCTCTAACAGGCGTCTTCAGTTTCAACTTGGCCACAGCAAGGAGCTGATTTCCCCTGGCCGCCTCCCCCCACTCAGCCTTCTTCCATCAGCAACACCCTCCCAGCTCTTAGTCCCAGCTTCACCTCGAACTCCTTTCTTTCTATTTTTTTAAAATATATTTTTATTTATTTCACTAAAAGGACTACAGTGGGGGCTCATCTCCTTCTGGGCCCGCAGGGAGGGGAAGGGAGAGGGAGAGAGAGAGAGATAGAAACATCAATGATGAGAATCAGTGATCAGCTGCCTCCTGCACTCCCCCTACTGGGGATAGAGCCTGCAACTCGGGCATGTTGAAAATGGCAGCGTCTCCCCTGAACCGGAGCTGGGAAAGGCTTGCCGAATGGAGTTAGTGTATCCCTCCTGCTCCCTACACACCCGACCCTAAGGGGCTGCCTGCTGGACCCCTCCCCCAGAGCTCTAACAGGCGTCTTCAGTTTCAACTTGGCCACAGCAAGGAGCTGATTTCCCCTGGCCGCCTCCCCCCACTCAGCCTTCTTCCATCAGCAACACCCTCCCAGCTCTTAGTCCCAGCTTCACCTCGAACTCCTTTCTTTCTATTTTTTTAAAATATATTTTTATTTATTTCACTAAAAGGACTACAGTGGGGGCTCATCTCCTTCTGGGCCCGCAGGGAGGGGAAGGGAGAGGGAGAGAGAGAGAGATAGAAACATCAATGATGAGAATCAGTGATCAGCTGCCTCCTGCACTCCCCCTACTGGGGATAGAGCCTGCAACTCGGGCATGTGCCCTTGACAGGAATCAAACCCAGGACCCTTTAGTCCACAGGCCAACGCTCCATACACTGAGCCAAACCGGCCAGGGCATGGACTCCTTTCTCACCTCCCTCATCACTCCATCAGCTCAGCTCTCAAACTGTATCCAGAATGGACCCCTCCTCCCCTCCGCACTACAACCGCCCGATCAGAACCACATCATCTGTCACCCCATCACCCTGTCACCGGTCTCCTGCAGCTCTCCTGCCCCTCCTATTGTCTTTGTCCCCCACAGCGGCCAGGGGGACCCCTCCTTTGCTCAGAAGCCTCCCCTGCTGCCCACCTCACTCACAGTCAAGGCCAAAGTCCTCCCTCGCCACCCGCTGGCCCCCACAACTTCTCTGATTGTAATTCCCATCTCTCTCCTCCCTCCCTCCCCTTCCGCTCACCATGGTTCTGGCCCTCCTCAGAGAGACTTCTTGACCCCCTTCCGCATTGAAGGATTTGTCACCTTGGCACCTACCATGTCCTGGCATTGCTTCTTCTTATTTGTTAGCTTTATCTCCTGTGTGTGTCCCCCCCCCCTCCCCCCGGGATGCCAGCTCCCGCAGGGCCGCTTTTTGTCTGTCTTGTCCCCAGCAGGGGCCCCAGTGCTGTGATGGTGCCTGGCATTTGCTGGGTGCTCAGTACAATTTGTTGAATGAATGAATGAATGAATGAATGAATGAATTCCACAGCCAGTAGGTGGCTAATGGGGGCATTTCAGGCACTAGGGGGGAGTTTGGGGGCCCTGACTCTTCCCTCCTTCACCCCCACCTCCTCCGTGAGCCCCTCCAGGAAGATCCCGGAGTGGAATCCCGGCCACTCCCCGCCGGTGCTGTGTCTCCTGCAGAAGAGGCAGGAGCTGGTGGATGTGGACCGGGGCCTGCGGGCCCAGAAGGAGGTGAGCCCCCACTGTAGTCCTGAGACTTGTGGGGACCCCAGACCAAAAAAAAAATGGTGGTGAGCAGGGGAATGGGAAATCCTGGAGCCAACTTATTAGCTCCCAGGCCTGAGACAAGTCACGTCACCACGCTGAGCCCTGGTTTCCTCACCTGTCAAGTGGGGATCCAAGGAGATCAGTTGTTGGTGCAAATCAATGTGCTCCGAGCACCTATGTGCAGGGCACTCGCCGGGATCTAGGGGTCTCACCATGGTCCCTGTCCTCAGGGGCTCACAGTCTAGAGAAGGACCCAGACCATGTCCAGCTGGTGACTGCTAGGAGGGGGACGTACTGAGAAGGACTGTAAGAGCCCAGAGAAAGCCCCTATTTCCACATGAGGGTGATCAAGGAGGGCTTCCTGGAGGAAGTGGTGTCTTAGGGATTCCTGAAGGGCAAGTTGGCTTATCCATCAAAGGGGGACAGTGTGAGAAGGAAGAAACAAAGAGGAAACAGCATATACAAAGGCTGGAAGGCAAGAACAAAGCACAGGTGGCCAAGTGGCCGGAAGACAGTGTCAGAGGGGGGAGGGGGAGATGAGGCCTGAGAAAGGGCAGGGACACGGACACGCAGGGGCTGCAGGAGGGCACCTGGGCTTCCTTGCGGCTGGTGGGAGCTGCGGGTGGATTTGAGGAGGGGCGCAGCGACATGACCAGGGACCACAGCTGAGAGGAGTTAAGTGTGAACTTAAAGGCGCTGGATGACTTGAACCCCCAAACACACAGACACCCATGTTCACACGCCAGGTGTTCCAGAACAGGATGGCAGTCCTGATGCAGCGCCAGGAACAGTTGGAACAGAAGAAGCAGGAGCTAAAGGGGTCCTTTTTCCGCTTTGACAAGTTCTTGCAGGTGGGTGGGGCCTGCTGGGGGAGGCAGGTCACAGGGTCACAAAGTCACAATCCTTAGGGGCCAGACATGTCACAGAAATGTTTAAAAACGGGTGTACTCTTATAGTTGGGGACTTCAATACCTATTGGCTAAATCCAAATTCATGGATGGTAAGAGTCATCATTTTAATGTCAATTCTCTAAAAATCATTCTATAAATTTAATATATCCCATGGCTAAGATCAATAGAATGTTTAATAAACTTTTATGTGCTAATTATTTTTTTAAATGGGTGTACTAGCCTGGCTGGCATGGCTCAGTGATTGAGCATCGACCTCTGAACCAGGAGGTCATGGTTTGATTTCTGGTCAGGGCACATGCCTGGTGTTGGTCTCAATCCCCAGTAGGGGGCGTGCAGGAGGCAGCCAATCAATGATTCTCATCATGGATGCTTCTATCGCTCTCTCTCTCTCCCTTCCTCTCTGAAATCAATACAATATATATATATTTTTTAAATTGGTGTACTAATACAAAGGGAGTGGTGGGAAAACTGACGCATTCACGCTTTTAAAAAACCGTGGGGGAGGAGTGAGGGACCAAAATCAGATTCTGGCTGCGTTTGGCCCGCGGACCATCTGTTTGCAATCCATGACTGCACGTGCTAATTAATGCTGGGCCGGGGTGGAAGGGGCGCGCTCCGCAGGCGCCCAATCCTGAGCGTCCTGGCCGCCGGTTCATCCCTCCTCCCCAGGACGCCCAG